TTGCCACGAGGCCCATGAGTCGGGAGAAAGCCATCCTTCGGATTGAATGCAGGAGACAGTGCAAAATAAGTGTGTGGGGAGGGAGGTTATTAGTTGTTGCGTCGCCACGCCAAGGGAGGAATACAAGACGTACAAAGAATTCTCCGTCGTTTTTGTGCTTGTACCATGCACGCACGCGCAAAGCAGGCGGCAGAAACATGGCAATGCGAGAGACCGGCCAATTGGAGTTAAGCCAGGTAAAGGCAAGACGCAGCTTAGTCAAAGATACTGTTTGAGTTTACGCAATCATGAAACAGGAAGTGTTTGCTTACTCGGGGGGACCATAGCGAGGGTCGGACCAATCGATCATGTATCGAATCCAGCAATCTTTCGTTCTGCCTGTCCACTTTTTGGTTTCTGCTCGAGAGTGTTCTGGCATTTGCGCCTTGGTGCTTCTGTTTTTTGTGCGCGCTTCGTATGCCAAAGATCTTGATGCAGTTTGCCGTTGTTCGAGAGATATGACCTGCGCACAAGGAGCTCGTTCCGATGAGGAAAAAGCTACGAGACAAGCATATCTCTGAAGTCGCAAGCACGGCAGTGAAAAGGAGCCGAGCAGTGACGATGAGTACGGTCAAAACGTATACCTATATTTTCCCGATTTTCATACCCTTTTTGCTTCTGCCATGTCCTCGCTTGCGGTTAGTTTATGTGGCCTCAGTTTGCGTTATAATAGTATTATTGTTTTTTAAAAGGCTTGGAAATCTGTTTTTGCGTTATATTTGTGGCCGCATTATATTCGTGAAAATATGTTTTTTTATCAGATCTGGGCATTTTGTTGACGCGAGTTTGCCAAATACTCGTTTCCTAGTATGCATAGTATTGTTTACAAGGTCTGTGGGCTTATCCGCACTGCTTTATCGCATTACTGCCGAGGCTATTGTTGGTCGTCAATCAAGAGACATGCATTTCTTGAAATCAAAAAATTTTTGACCCCTACCTTGCAGAATGAAAAGACTGGTCTCTTCACCCTTTGACGATTCATCATTTTAGAATGTTTCTTGAAAGCAACAAAATTGCTGTAGACTGCGTTTTATGCAGGGACTGTCGGGACTGGTGTCGACTCTATATCGTGCAGAACTCATAGTCAAGATGATGTCAAGGCTGGTCCGGAACGACCAGTTTTATAGCATGATGTTTTTTTTTTGTTGTTTTTTATAGCATGTTGAGCATAATGTGTATTGAAGCATGTGCGGCTGGACAGAGGACAAGCATCTCCAGAAAAAAATATGCATCTAGTCAATTTGTCACGCCACGATTTGGTGACTGAATGAACGGTAGTAAAGCAGAACTGAATCTGGCCTGTGTTTCACTTTTGAACACTGCCGTAATGCAGGTTTGGGATCGGGTTGGCTTCGAGTCAGTCCTGCCTATCCAGAAATTTTACATGCTGCCTGGTGGAGTCCATATTAAGCATAAAATGTTTGCTCGTACAAAATGGTTGCCCGGGTGGTGTCAACTAAGAGTGAACCTACTCAGTCCACGAAATTGGAACCAGTCAAAAGCAGCGAGGCATACTTAATGTGATTTTTATTCTTTTTATTTTTTTACGAAGCAGCAATCTTTGTGAAAGCAGAAAGCAATTGCTGCCCCAATAAGAAGGGGTGTCAAAGACAGCTTGGCAAACATCAGCAACAAGGCAGTTCAGCGATGGACCATTTGCTCTTGTATTGTTACAGTTACAGTTTGTAGTAATTAATGATACAGCCTCTGACGCTGAACATATAAATTATGGTGTTCCTCATTGATCCATATTAGGACCAATATCGTTTCTTCTCATTCCTCAAAACTCCAGACATTGTCTTCTATGCAGATGATACAAATGTGTGTTTTTTTGTTGTTTTTTTTTCATGCAGAAACTTCCCATCCCTTATTCCTGTCCTAAATATATGGCTAAAAATTCTATCCAAATGGCTTGACGCCAGTGAGCTTTAATATATTAACAAAACAAAAATTATTGTTTTCTCCTCTACAGTCAAACCTGTTTATAATGAACAGCAGGAAACACCACAATCAATTCGATATAGCAAGTATTTCGATATAGCAAAAACTATTTATAATGAACTTCCACGATGCGTTCGTTGTAAGGCGAGAACTTCTTTTTCTTTCTCATCTCGTCGCTTCCGCTTTGTAACAACGCGCTGGAAAGTTTTTTTTTTTTAATACAGGCAGAGTTTGTGTTTTTAACTTATCTCCCCTTCTGAATCGCTTCTTTTCGTGGGCAACAGTTTTGGGATAAAAAGATTTTTGTTTGTTGTTTTGCTGTGCGTGCGTGCAGAGAGTATTTTTTAGCTTTCTCCCCTTCTGATTGGCTTCTCTTTGCTCAATTTTGTTTGCAACTTGAGCCTTTGGAATTTTCTTTCTTTCCTACTTTTTTTTTTTGTAAAAGGAACAGGCTAGGAGACGAATATTTGCACGTTTTGGAAGCCTTCCCGGGGAAAAAGTTTGATAAGCCAATAGGTTGTTTGTTATACAAAGTACTCTTTACATGCATTTTTATTTAAATATTTTATGAGCTTAATATCGACAATAATTCGCTGTACGTGGGTTCGTTCTAAACGGGTTTCACTGTAGTAATAGACCCACTAATTTTACTAGCTCCTTGACATTTTAAGCACAATAATTAGAATAGGTTTCTGATTACAAGTTTTTAGGAGTACATTTGAATGAAAACCTTAGTTGGACGTTCCATTAAAGTCGTGTGAAACGTAGTATCGCACAATCTGTAAGCATGCTGAATAGATTTCAAACATTACTTACTATGTGGCTAGAACGTTAGCTTTATTTTGCTACTGTTCATTCACGACTACGTTATTGTGTACATGTCTGGTGGGCTTACATCTAAATCTAATATTAAAAGTCTGTACCTAATGCGGAATAAGGCGTGCGGTTCATTCTTAATTTATCGAGCTTTCAATCATGTTCCTTCCTACTTTGAACCAAGTTGTGTACTAAATATTGAAGCCTTTTATAACCAGAGATTGTCTGTGGTAAGTTTTTGAAAACTTAATGCTGACCGCAAATTATTTCTTTTTTTACATATGCAGGCGTCAATAAACACTCCAGTTTTAGACAGACATTTTGTCAAATCTATAACTAAAACTGACTATGGCACACAACTATTGGATTGGCAAATTCCAAACCTCCTGAACATTTACCGTGACTTAATTGATATATTGGAACCCTCTTCCTCTCTGCGGACCTTCAGGTAACAATCGAAGACGTATTTCCTAAATCTCGTTTAATAGAGTTTAATGTCTTTAATGGTTTTTGTTTCAAATTTGGTTGTTGCATTGGATGTTTTGTACATGCTAGTGTGTTTGCAGTTTTTCTGTTGTATTGGTGTTGCTCTGTTGTAGTTTTGCTTGCGTTACGAGTGTAGCCTAATGCTAGGAAACCAGTCGGGCGGCATTTGCTGTCTTTTGCGTCGGCTCCAAGGCATTTCTATATTGTCAGATTGGAAATTAGCAAATATATTTCTGGACACACTAATTGGAATCTTGTTTGTTTATATCTGTGTTTGATGCAATTGTTAATATTTACGCATATTGTAGCTGAACTTGATAGTATGATTACGGCATATTGGTAGTGTTGTGATGGCAGAAGTAACTCTATGCTTCCACTGTACAAGCAACAGTCTCTTGTCCACTGAAAGTATTCTCAATTTTGCAGGTCACGCTGTGGAATGACGCTTGGCCGCCTCGGAGAGGCACATCCACCAGCCAAGTCAGCTTTTGATAGTGTCGACCCTTTGAATAGTGGCCAGGTCCACGTGAATGTGATGGGGTCGGATAGATAGGCTGTAGCCCGTCCCCGCCCAGTTACTTAGAACCAGTTCCATCGGTTCACCCAATGTGAGCTAATCAATTCACACGATCCCACCCTCCACCTCCGCATACATGTGAATGAAACCAGTGTGATGTGGTTTTGTTGTTGCTCTTGTGCATTTGGTAGGAAGTGCAATAATTACTTTTATCAACTTGTGTCATAATTGGTGTTTCCTCTCTTGACTGGTGTACCGTGGGGTTTTCTTATTGTGGGGGTTAGTGAAATGTCACCTAGAAGCACTTGCCTGTACTCCGTTCTACTTCATGTGTAAGCACAGCAGAAGCTACACGAGCAAGGTTGAGGCATTTGGCACCCCTGCCAAGTACCTATGGTTGCATGCTCCTGGAGTGCAGGCAATGTTCAGGGAAATATGCTCGTGCCTGGACGTTCGGCTTTCCTCACGCATAAAGTGGAACAAACTCTAGAATGGACATTTCACCGACTGCGTGCAGACCTCATTCTATGGCAGTGCATATGGCACCCACTTTTTAGTTGCCCGAGGTGAGCCAACCTTGAACAATCGAAGGTGTATTAGCGCATTCTAATACACCTCGAGGTAAGAATTGAGGTCGGCATATCATCCCGGAAACTTAGGTTGGGATCATAGTGCATTCCCATTTAACCTGAGAAATCGACTAGATGTAGCCTCTTTGCATCATCACTTGTGCTTCGTGTGTTACGTAGAGCCGTCTCTCTAAAACATTGATTGAAATTTCATTCTTTACCGGTTTCTTGCGATTTTCGGGTGTATGTTTCACCTTGGCACGAAACTCTCAAATGAGGAATACGTAAATTAATTTTCATTGCCTCTATGTAAAAGCCTTTTTTTATATTAGGTTTAGCATTGTTTTTGAGTGTTATGTTGCACATTCTGTGGTGGTGTATTTATTAATTGATGCGCCTTCCCGACACTTCTTCCCTTTGGGCTTAGCTGTTGCGTACAAATTTAAATTTCCGATTCGTTCTGCCCCGGTGTTTTAAGGTATCTTCTCTCCTGCCATTCCTGCTTGCAGCCGTTACTGACGTATTGTGAATAAGAAAGGACTAATTAAGACTCCGTGTCTCCTTAACAGGCTCGGCCAGAGCGGCATTCTACGGAGAGTGGCAGGGCGTCGACCGCCAAGGCGGCAGGAGCGAGCTCTCGTCCCGGAAGCATGCTTCGTTTGGGCGCCACCGGAAGGCACAGTCGCGGCCGGAGGACAAGCACCAGAGCCGACTCTACCCTTACTCCGGTCGTCACACCACAAATATGGCCGCGCACGAAAGGACGCACGGTGGAGACAAGCCCTTCCACTGCCGCTTCTGCCAGCGTTCATTCGCGTACAAGTCTAACCTGCAGATCCACGAAAGGGCCCACACGGGCGAGAAACCTTTCCGGTGCCAGATTTGCCAGCAGGCCTTTGCGCAGAGGTTCTCCCTTGTGGACCACGTGAGGGTGCACACGGGGGAGCGGCCCTTTGTGTGCACCACCTGCGGGAGGGCCTTCAGGCAGAAGTCGACCCTCACGCGCCACGAGAGAATTCACAGGGGAGACCGCCCGTTCAAGTGCGAGCTCTGCGAGAAAGCGTTCACGCAGAGGGGCACGCTAAACGTGCACCGGAAGAGGAACCACATGTGAGGGGACGCCCGTCACCTAATATAGCTGGAGGAGTCTTGCACGTGAGGCTCATCATAAGCTTCGTAATGTGTTCACGCTTGTCAATGGACTCTGAGCTGTAGTTTCTGTGCTCTAGTGTTAGGAGTAGATGATTTAAATTATTTAATTTATGAGCTGCATTGACTCCCCATTTTAAGTGTTGCATACTACACTCGTGATACGGTAAAATTAACTGCCACTACCATGTTTTTTACGCAGCAACATTGAGTGTTGCGAATATTTATGCAGTTAAGGGGTTGGTGTACCCCGGAGGTTTTGTACCATCAGCGCAACACTACAGAGGCATTGGTCCAATGTGGTATGACTGCTGACGTGGGGCCTTTAATAAGTATGCATGGTGCCATAGTGACGCATATTGAAAATCCCTGGTTAGCAAGCACAACAGCATAGGCCTGGTAGTCATTGTTTATTTTATTTATAAGCAAATTGATATTCAGATTCCAGCTGTAGGATTGAATAGTGTTATACCTAGTCCTCACGACCGAAAGAAACAACCTTAATGTCTGTTAAAGGGATACTGAACCGAAATTTAGATTTCGAAAAATAAGGCCGCAGAAGCATTGAACGGGAGGCTGCAAACTCCTACATCACTCGTACATCGACATCCCCAATGGATGGCCGCACTTTTGGAAAAGAAGGTTGCGATCAAGCGAGGTCTTTGGCGTCATTGCCCTCTGGGAGAATTTGAGAGTGAGGGGAAGCGGCCTCGCTTGTCCTTCTCGCTTCGGTCCACCAGCTCAAAGGGACGTGGTGAGGAGGAGGGGAGGTGAGAATCTTGACGTGACTTGTCTCGTCGACCCTGTCAGCCGTCTTCAATCACGCTCTTCTTTCCCCAAAAATACGGCAATTTGTTAGAGATATCGCTGTATGAGTGATGTTTTGGGTTTTGTAGCATTCCGCCTATCGCTCAAGCCTTGTTTTGTGAGCTTGAAATTTCGGTTCAGTATCCCTTCTTTTTAAGCTCAGCTTCCTGGATTTGAGAATATTTCAAGTTGGGTACACTTGTACTCCTGAGCCCCTTCGCTTCATTGGATGGATTAACTGAAGAAAGGTATCTTTAAAGGCACACCCTCTGCATACATTGAGAGTACTAGTTTGACATCCTCAAAGGGTATCCCTCCAATTCGATTTGATTTCTGCGGAAGTAAATATTTGATGCGTCAATTTACCCGCTTTATTTGGTGATTCAGGCGGTGAATCACGTTGAAAAAATTATTTTTGTTGCGCATAGCTTTGGTGCATGTATGAATTTGATGACATCTCAAGTTGTTTTTGTCTCCTTTGCAACATTCCTCTGGGAGTGAACTACAGTCTCCTGCAATAGGAACGACCCACTGGGAGCGCACTGCCAAGGCTGCGGCGGACGGGGACACTGCACGCTTTCCGGACGATTCCATTCTGCCTTGAGGGGAGGACACTCATTTGGGGCCCAGCCGAGCCTGAGCGCGGTTAACAGTTTGTGCTTCCGGTTTAGTGGAGGAGCATGCTTCGTCGGCATCGGGCAAAGAGATATGGTCACGAAGGCTCGGAAGGAGCATAGTCATCACTGTTTTCTTTATCAGCTGTCAGAACGGGCACTGTCAAATAAATAAGTATTACAGTTGTACGCAAATCTTGTATATATGAATGATAAAACTAGTTGAAGGGCGCATTCGTTCGTGAGAAGGATGGCACGGATCCCTCGCTTTAACAGATACAGAATAATCGCCCTAGCTCAGGCCTGTCTCTTGCAAGCAGCAATTATGAGGTGAGAGGGACATAGCCGAGAGCACGACGCCGACAAACTGCTTTTCGCCGTGAAACCGGAGCCCCCCTTTCCACTAAGTGAGCCCTCCCCTTGGAGTAGAATGGCATCGCCCGGAGTGTGCGCAGTGCCCTTACCAGTCACCGTCTTGGCCTCGCGCTCCTGTGGGTTTTTCATATTGTGAGGGTCTGCATGTGTGTAATATGTATTTCAAGTCAGTTTCAGCTGTGCAGGTGCCATGCAAGGTAAAGATCTGTGTTAGGACCGCAATCACAGATGGTAAAGGATGTGCACTGTGTTGGCTTCCTTGGGGCTGCAATGTTCCTTTCTAGAAATGAGTGGCCCTAGCCAAGAGGAATGCTGTGCTTTGGAATGCCGGAAAGCCTCGCTCCATGTCCTTTCAATTGATTTTGAGCTAAAAAGTGGGAATTGCTCGTCAAAAAAGAACTTTGAGGGATTGTGCTCGGTTTATTCTTGTTTCATGTATTGTGTAATGAATTGCTCACTTCTTTCTCGTGTGCATTTCTGTTCTGATAAGTCCCAGGAAAACGATCTGCTCTTAACGTGATTGACAGGCACCTTTTCTCACCATTTTTATACTATCACTAGAATGTCACGTCTGCTGTAATGAGATGTGAACTCTATGAAGACCAAATGTAGACACGAGTTTCATTCTAAATCTTTCCAGCTTCTGCCAAGAATTGTTAAACGGGGGGAGGCAACTAGGGGCTTGATACTCTGAAGAGTTGAGGTTGGATATATTGATGCTTTCAAAGATGTGTACTAGGTACTCGGTGAATTAAAAAAATTGAAAAAACTTTGCACTTCATCTCATCTTGATGACAAAACGTGGCACTTGATCATTGTAGTGTGAATGTATTGAAACCCACCTTTTACTGATATTGTTGCTGGCATTCTCTAAAAGTCCGAGTGTCTTGATTTCTAGAATCTTAGTGCAACTGGTTTTGGGGAAACGTGCTCGGCAGTCAGAAGTTGTGTACTTCCCTAGTATGAGAAAGCAGTAGTAATCACAATTCTCTTAAAATGTGCTTGTTGTAAATTTCCTTGAAAAAAAAACTTATTCTTAAGCATTTAGGATATGGAATGTACAGTAAAAGTGAATAAATAAAACAGTTTCAAAATACAATTGCTCTGTATAATGACCACATTTTTTTTTAATGTATATTAGGGTACATATAGACATCTTCCTGGGATAACCATTTATGTTCTCCCTCATGCTCACTCTGAAAAACCTCTCAAACTTTGTTAATGATGATATGCACATAGACTACAGAGTATGTGGTTCATAGGTGCACAAATAGGCATGACTCAGATAGGCTCAAATATGCTGAAACTGAGGAAACCAGCTTCTTAGGGCTTGAAACAATTCAGTACAAATCGACTGCCTGAGAAACACCTAGGTGAACTCTGGAAACCCTGACACTTGAAAATCCGGCTTGAAAGCCCATTTTTTCGATACCTGCGATAACATACTATTGAGCATCTTTTTGACCACAGCACCGACTTGCCTCGTCATGTATAACACTTTGGGTTGGGAATCGTGTCTGAACTGGTTGAAATAATGGTGTCAGCATGTTCGGAATTGATGGCTCATGTTATCCACATGTAAGAGCTAGTCTTAGGCAGTAGGAAATGAACTGTTATATGTGTGTCTAAGCTTAAGTGCTCGTAAATGGTGTTCCGCGTTCCTTTCAAATATAATGTCGCCTTAGTTTTGCAAGTGGATGGTCTCCTGGCAATGACCTTTTAGTTGAAACAGTGTCATGGGGGCTTGGCATAAAGACAATATATTTGATGGCACGAATTAATCTCTTAAATTTTGTGTACCGGATGTAAGTCACCTCACACTAACTTTGGCATCAGTGCCACTCTATTTCGACAGGTCTGGTTTACTGGCATAAAAAAGCTGCTCCGATAAAAGCCCGTTTGATCTGATTCGGTCTGTCTCTCCAACAGAAATCGCCCCCAACCATGGAGAGCTGCGCTTCCACTGCGAGGACATCTCGAGCAAGCGTTCTCGGGAAGGCGGGTTGGGCAGGCAGCAGTGGAGGGTGCAGCCAGGGGGGCTGAACACAAGACGGTGCGACTCGTACCCTTACACCGCTCCCGAGAGCGCCGGCATCGTGACCTGCATAAAGACTGGACAGAAGCTGTTTAGGTGCCAAGTTTGCCAGAGGGCATTTGCGCGTAAGTTGTTCTTGGAAAATCATGAAAGGATCCACACGGGAGAGAGGCCGTTTAAATGCAGCTTGTGCGAAAAGTCTTACGCCTGGAAGTTCAGCCTACTTTGTCACGAGAAAGTTCACAAGGGTGAGCGGCTGTATACGTGCGACATCTGCGGAAAAGCATTCGTACTGCAAAGCGGCTTAAGTCAACATCGGAAGAGTCACTGGTGAAAGATGTCTGTCGGGGCGTATTTCCACTATTGTCACGGAGATTTGCATGTCGGACCGATTCTAAACTTTTCTCGCTGTTTCATAGCACCCAACGAACCTGAGGCACATTTTATCGATATAAACGAGACTACGTCCTTTGGGGCAAAGTCGTATACTGTAAACGACCAATTTTTCACATGGACCCAATTTTCGCGAATCGCCTGCAGTTCGCGAAAAATATGTCCCGCGAACAATTCGGGCAATATGTGAACGCTACGGAAGCTACACTCGATTCGCGAAAATTAGAACCCGCGAATAACTTCAAATTTTCATCTTTGGCCCAATTCGTGAAAATTTCAGCCCGCGAAAATTAAGTCGTTTACAGTATTTTCAATATCTCGCACAGGATCCGGACAAAATTGTCCCGGACAAAATGGACCCGGATATAACGGTCCCAGGTGCAAAACCGGATAAGGTAGTTTGCTCGCTGATTAGAGTTTAGTTGAGTGTTTGTATTTGATGCCAATTCAACGTGGATAAATGAATATGCGAGTTTTCATGTTTAATATAAAATGCAGCTTTGTTGTCACGCAGCTGTGGTGGCGCTGCTGTCGACATGGTGCCCACACATGGTGTGGGCAAGTGCAAACTTGTTTGTAAACAGCCTGTATGTCTACAAAAATTATATACAACTTGCGAACAGCGTGAGGATCTAAAGAATAAGGTGTAAGGACCACTTTTGGCCGCTATGACGGGGGGAGAGAAATACTTCCGGTCTTTTACCTTGCATACGGGTGGGTGAGCAACGACTCTCGGTTCACTAGGGAGCAATTCCGTGAGAGCTACGCTTCAGAAATACCCCAGTGTCATGCTTTCAAGTCGTCGATGCATACCAGCACCAACGAGACGTCGCGAGGGAAATTGTTTAGATGATCTCGAGACTAGGGATTCCACCAAGCCTGGGTGGTTGTGGGACGACGGTATTGGCAGGCGGCGTTAGCCTACTCAGATGTGCTGGCAACAGAGGGCGCAACGCGATGAACGCAAGCACCGAACGCGAGAATGGGGCGCCCCGACCAACCATCTCTGTACGACGATGGGCCATTACCATTACGGCACGTACACGAATGCAGTGTGCACAGTGGTCTGGCAAAGAAACCTTAAATACCGAAGCAAGCGAGTCAAAACCCTAGAAATCGGTGCGTTAAAGACTCATGACGCGCTGGAGGGGGCGTAATAAAACCTTTGGGAAGATTGTCCGCTAAAACCTAGACCCGGCTTGGCGACCCCTGCGGGGAACCTCGGCATGTATCTTGGGCGCTTTGAGGAGGTAGATCCCCACCGCCAATGATTTGCCCTTCACGAAGTGGTTGAACGCGTTTAGGGATTTGTATGTTTTAAGTCGTCCTCGGGTATGCGGACCAGGCTAATCGAATAGGTAATCCTGAAGATGTACCCACGATACCTTCGGCAGATTAGTAATTGTTTAGAGGGACGAATGCTCTTTTTTTTTACCCGAGGAAACGGGAAGTGATGTCGATCCCGTATATAGTCTCCGACTGATTTTTTTTTACTCTGAGGGGACCCCGAAATTGTCCAATTAATCGAGCGGTCCGAAAAATCAATTTCAGCTCAATATATCAAATTTCTGCACATATTCTGCTGCGTATTGGCCACTTTCCACGTGCTCGATGTCAATTTTAAGTTCTCGTGCAGCTTCCGCTTTATATTGTTCACTTTTCACTTGTTTGTTGATCTGTTTGATCACGGTGCTGCGCTTTGTCGGTGCCTTCGTTGGCGCAAACAGCGAAGTTGAAGTGGGCGCCATTTGGTACTATTTGTAGACAACATTTAGTCCACTAAGCTCACTTCAATACTAAGTCTATCAGCAAAAAACCTTCGCACTCTAAGACCACGAGAACAGGGATGGCCGCTCTTCTCACGGTCGCACTCAAAGAACACGGACCAGGAGAAGAACTGGAAGAGCCATAAGAATGGGCAGACGGCGGCCATGTTGTCTATAGCGGAACCGGAAAACCTGACTATAAACTCAACCCAACTTGTTTATTGCGTAGGGCACGTGGTATCGAGGCTACAGGGTAAAATCAAAACATTCAAAATGGCGGTGATTTACTAGCTCTCGGCGCTATCGCTGCAGCTGTTGTGTGGCTGTAAGGAAATCGCACAAATTATGTCCGAAATATCGAGCAATGAGCTTTATGGCGTCCGAAATTTTGGTCAATATCATACATTAACTCTATGGAATGAGTGACGGTCCGAGTAATCGGACGTGTCCAAAGAATCGATGGGCGGCTGGCTGTAAGCCAATTTCAGGAAGTACCGCAGTTAGTCTTAGGAGTCTTGGGCGGTCTTAAAGTTTGCCCTACTCATTGAGCATCCTCAAAAACAGTAGGCAACCGGCAGTAAAATACTCCCCCATGGAAGTTGGGACCGCAAAAATTAGCGACGCATCTCCGCTCGCACGCTCATCCTCTGTCCAAATGAGCACTGGCTTGAACCACATGCCAAAGCTTTAAAACAAACCGTTTAGGCATGTGTGAATAGTGTTTTTTTTTAGTTCGAAGCGAATTCGAAGCGAATAGTAATTTGCTTTGAATATTTTCGAAGCGAATAATTCAAATAGTTGTAGGAAAAAATTATTAGCAAAAGTTATGCAGTGGTCACTTCACAGACCATTTATTTTCACTGCAAAGCAGCCACAAACCAAAACTTAAGCTCATGCACAAATCAAAACTTAGTACAAGAAAAGTCAGTGGTTTTCATGAAGGAACACGAGCTGCTGCACATGATCAGGGAGGAGAAGCTCCCTCCTGCAGCTCACGATGCTTCCTGCGCTTGAGAAAAGCCTTTCACTCCTAGTCTGGGTTGCTGGTATCGAGAGATACCTACGGGCAACACGGACCAGGGATGGGTACAGATGTCTTCCCCTGCACCTCCACCATGCCAAGGGGTCTTCTGTGCACGCAAGGAGGGGTGTCTTTAGGTACTCAACAGACTCGGTAACGAATTCGTGGCCTGGCTTTTGGTGCGTGTCAGAACTAAGACTGGAGAAGACATCCCACAGGGTGTCTCCCAGCGAGTCTCCTATGCCTCCGCTGGTTTCGGCGGCTGCATCACTAGGCTCGTCCACTGATGCGCTCTCCTCGACGGCCTTCGTCAGGAGTGTGCGTGTCCATTTTTTTCTGCCTCTCCAGTGTAGCACACGTCCTTGTACCTGGGGTCTACCAACATTGACAAGGCTAGAAGGCGACACATCTTCCCATCTGGAAATCTTGTCTTGATGCTTTGTATGAGGCTCGAGGCAACTGATCCTGCTTCATCGGTAGAGTGTCGACTGAGAACAACCTTGGCGCACTCTAATAAGGGAATCACTTGGGAGAGGGTCGGATAGCTGTCTCCAGACAGCTGAGCTGTGGCTTGCTCGAGAGGCTGCAAGACCTGCACTACTGCAGTCATGAGCCTCCACTCACTTGCACTGAGAGGTTCCACTGTGTCTCATTCCGACAGCTCCACACTGACGGGCACGCGAAGCTTCACAAGCCTCTTCATCATGGCGTGTTCACTGTTCCAACGTGTTGGAACGTCTTGCACAACTTCAAGTGGCTCAAGGTTCATGTTCTTTTGGATTTCCATAAGGCACCCGCCGGCCTTTGCACTCCTCTTATATCAAGCCACAATGGTTCTAGCTTTCGGACATAACTGCGAGAAACTCGCCACCTCTTTTTTGGCGTTGCTGATGCACAGCTGGAGTGCGTGTCCGAAGCACTGCACGCCAGACCACGGTGACCGTGCAAACGCTGAGGTGAAATTCCTTGCGTTGTCCGTGACTACATAAATCGGCATGGTGCCTGGTGCTGGTAGTTCCAAGTCCTCAATAGCACTTTTGATGAACTGTTCCAGGTGTTCGGCCGTGTGGGAGTTCGTCATGTCCGTACAAGCCAAAGCGTGCACGTGCTGTCCAAATTCTTTGTTCATCACGTGGCAAGTCACGGAGACGTAGCTATCATTTGCGCACGATGTCCAGCCATCCGTCGTGATGTAGTAACATTCTGCTCCTCTACTGAAAATGTCTCGCAGACTCTTTCTTAGTTCTTTCATTTTGGACTCGTATAGATCCGGGATGACAACCCGTGAGAAGGTCGTCCGCGACGGCATGGTGTAGTCGGGTATGGCAAGCTTCATTATTTCAACGAAACCACTTTCTTCTACGATGCTGTACAGATGCATTCCGCTAGCAATGAAGTTCGCTATTATCGCCGTCATTTGTTTCGCTTTGGGTGCAGTCGGTTTCAGTTTGGGCTTGAAACTGTCGGCTACCGACGGTTGCTGATGATTCGATTTACTCCCGTTCTTGTGTTTGACGGCAGTCCCACGTGCATGACGCTTACATTCGAAAGTCTTCTACGAATCAGGGTGCCTTTTCAGGTGCGTTGCGAGGGTCGTTGTCGTACCCGTTGGAGTTTTCAGCACTGCCTTGCATTTGAGGCACTGAGCTTTATTTCCCGGTGGCACTTTCAAGAAGTAGTTCCATATCGGATTTCGATACACACACCGGCTTCACTTTCATCGTTCCCGGCTGCCGTCGATGACCCATCAGCCATACGAACGAACACGCAGCACCTAGAGCGAGCACACTTCGGAATCCTTTGTGGAGCTGCGACGCACGATTTTCTCATCGGTTTAGCATGTCTTGGATTGGATTGGATATGTTTTTTTTCTTGATGCCGATGCGGCTTTCGTGAGTAACAACCGAAACCGAAACTACCAGATACAATCGTCTTCCTTCCGCTATTCGTTAGTGCCGAATACTTCTAACTTCTTCGAATATCGGAATTCGGATCGAAGCGAATACTGAATAATGTACTATTCGATTGAATATTCGGAAAAATCGAATATTCGCACATGCCTAAAACCGTTATATTTCTCGAAAGTTGGAAGTGACTTTTTGAAAATGGCAACGTGAAAACGGGGTCCATTCCTGGCAGCTGGCGCCTTTCCGCCTCCTGTATTCAGTAGTTACTTCGGCAGCCATTTTCTCTTTTAGAATTTCAGGAAATCGCTCGTAGCTTTTTTGATGAAACAACGGTTAGTACTGAAACTCTGGCGTTTGGTTCGGACAGCTAGCGCTACGTTTGGGCAGAAAAT